GCCCACACCTTCATTGTTCAAAAATGACGGGGAGAAAGTCAGCTTTAAACCAAACAGCCAAACTAAGCCTGCTTTGCTGGCAAACATGCATATAAATGGGTCATGCCCACTATTTTCCCTTTTTTCGTAGCATCGAAATTTAGAGCAAACCCATCAAGCAATGCTAGCCAACATCAGTTAACCATCAGTTCAATCAGCAAAAAATTTATAATGTATACAAAATCCCCCCTCCATCAATTTTGTGAGTTTAAAGCCAGAGGGTAGAAACAATAACAACAAAATCATGTGGCATATTTTAACGTTCTCTATCAGATTCTATGTCAGATTTAGATTGGACCTGATTATATAATCAGTTCCAAAATTTAGATCTAAAGTATGTCAGTAAAATTGGGAGGTAAGAAATATTTGGATATAAATACAGTCTACATTCTTTATTTGCATTTAAGCGGCTTTTTCAAGGTTTTTTTTCTAGTAATTGATCTTTTTGTCTTATACAAAAATATAAAACAAAACTTTTTTGCTGTTTTGATTGGAAGCAACTACTGTTGAGGAAGTATTAAAATATACTTAAAAGCTGTATAACATTGAACTAATCTCCTGAAAGTGCCATGCTTTTCTTTTCAAACACCTTGAAGTTTAATTAGTGGGATCTATGGGTCTTCTGTTTGTTTGATGTTTATATTAAGAATAGAGCTGAGGTTGTTAGATCTAAAGTTCATAGTTATATTTTCCTTGCTCAACCCGCTTTACTTTGATGTCTAAAGTGCTTATTTAATGCCGTGAAAAAGGTAATATTTTCTTATGCAGAGAACAGCAGAATACGTCTTTGAAAATTAAATCACATGCTGTTAATAAGATTTATGCATATCAAAAGGAAAATGTACTTGAAGCAATCATGAATTGAACTTAAACCATAAACTTTTTCTTATTTGACTTTTACAACCCAAAAGTTTAGCATTATATTGCAGGTTTAGTGGGACAACCCAACACACAAAAAAAGAAAAATTGTGCAGTGGGAGAAAAATGAAACTTAGTTTTAATGTGGCATACTTTTTTTTTCTAATTAACTGTAATATGTCCAAGAACATAAACACACCTAATCCTAAAAGACTAAGTTAACTATAATACTTTAATAAACTACAATAAATTTAGTTTAAATAAAAATAACTTACAAGTATTCCTGAACATATATGTTAAAGGTGCACATTTAATTCTTAAAAATCTCATTTTTGATAAACCCTTAAGCCATGAAAACACCAAACACGATTTGCTTCTGACCCGACAGAGTCTTACAAGGTCATAACACTTGATGCTCAGATGGTTTTCTGCAAGGGGGCTTACATAGCTCAGAATGAGATGAACTTCTGCTCTGTTTTAGTCGTACTACGCAGCAGCTAAGTAGCAGTTTCATGGGTATGACAGGAAAAGAGTAAAGTAAAACACTATCAATTTTGGGAAATTACTAAATAAAACAGTTTAAAAAATGAATTAAATATTTCAAAAAGCAAAATATCTTACCTATACCTTACTATCCTCTTTATATATATAAAAAAAGAGAAAAACTTCTAACTTCATAGATCACTCTTTGAGAATCACCACTTACTGCTGCACTCAGTACCTTTATATCTACAGATTTTATTACTGTGTTTTCCTTTTGTTTAAATGTATTTCATACTGTATTTTGTATAAATTGAAATAATCTGGATTGAAAACGTGGATTAAAGGCCGGTCATGACTTTGTAGCCGTGCCAGCAATTATTATTATTTTTTTTTTTAATTTGGGATCTTGTCTCAATTTAAGGGCCTAGATACATGCCCCACAAATGTTAAAGAAACTGTTAAAGGAGCCTCTCTTTACGAACTGCAGTCCGTGTGACATGGAAAAAAAGCATCTGATAAAATCAATAACAATAATGGTCATTGCAAAAGAGATACAAGTTTAAATGTTGATATATAGAAAAAAATATATGTCACTGCATTGTGTAGGCTATGAAAACATCATGAGAGAATGCATAAAGATGCAGTACTCGCTCTAAAGCATTGTTTAACTGCTCTCCACCATGTTGAAATGTCCAAGTTTACTTGTTCTTGGGAACTTTGGTATCATAATATTTTTCCAGTTTTCAGGTAGAAATGACAACATGAGCGGGTGTTTTGATTTTTGGCATTTACCAAAATTACGAGACCCCAAGAAGGTAGCATTAGTCAAAATTTTGGGTAAAATTTACTGCTCGGCAGAGGTCTGCGCTCTCTAAGTGCTTTTCTAGTTTTATCCTTTATTAACGCTAAAGTCAGAGACATATGTGGGGACAGCTTTTGCCAGGCTCAGGTCATTAAAGATGTTTGGTCACCTTATTATGGGCGCTCATTTAATTGCTAAAACTCACCAGATTAGTGCACAGACTACAGCCCAAGAACTCAGTTCCCTGTGTCTGATGTAGGTGATCACCCATGTAGCCAGTGTGCTGCAGCTCTTGCTGTTCATATCGAATCTGGTCTTTTTACATGTCTGTGTCAGTTTAGGGGAAAAGCCATGTGTTTGCAGATTTGTATGTACTATTCCATTTCCAGATGATGGACTGAACAGTGTTCTATGAGCTGATCCAATTTTGGAGATATTAATTTTTAATTTAACCCTGTTTCTCCAAAACTTTGTCCATGATCCGCCAGTTGTGTTGCTTGTGCTGACAATCTTCCTTTGTGGCTTTTAATGTAATCTCTATCTCTGTTTTCCCTTTTAGTTTTAGTTAATGTAGAATAAATTCCATGTAATAAAAATCATAAACATTTGCACATGATGAGATAATGACATAATTAGTAAATGACAAACAAACAAGAAACCGAACCTTTCAAATAAACCTACACTTTAAACATAAAGGCATTTTATGTTTTACAAAGTTTTGTTAGAGCTTGTTTAATTAGGAGCAGACCAATTGGTTTTACCAAGAGACTTTAATCATTCAGTTATTACAAACAAGCAGATTGTTTTCCATATTTTCAAGGATCATGTAATGGATAGCACATGTAAATGTGTTTACCTTAGACATTTTGTCAGTGTTGCATCATAATAACAGATGCAGAACGTTATTATGTTTCAGTTTTCTACAAACTATTAAAATCAACTACATACATTCTTCTGTCTTTCGATTATAGTAAATACAACATTAATTGATATTTGATTTTTGTATTCATCTATATTAATTTGCTTTCAAGAATATGCTGCAGTTGTTAGTGACAGACAGGATGGATTAACTGCAAAGAAATTTTAGCTTCAAGTCATAAAATTTCTCTTTTGATGTAAATTAAAAAGAGAAATCATATTTCTCCTATCTTAGCTTCCCTTTTTTGGCTTCCCATTAAATTCCATGTATAAAGCACTAAATAACCAAACTATGTCTAAGAGATATGATTGTTCCTTATGTTCCTAACAGAGCATTTTACTCACAATCTGCAGGTTTACAAGTATTTCGAAGAATCTCAAAGCAGAATAGGAGGCAGATATTTTAGTTGTCAGGCTCGTCTTCTTTGGAACCAATGAACTGTTTTAGTCTGTGAGGCAGACACTCTGTCTACTTTTAAGGGTAGGCTTAAAATTTTCATTTTTGATAAAGGTTATAGTTAAAGTGGCTCAGGTTATCCTGAGCTATCTCTATTGTTATACTGCATGAGGCTTAGGCTGCTGCAGGACATAGAAACCACTTTACATCATTTTGCTTCTTTCTGTTATTATCATCCAATTTGCAGTATTTTGATATATCAACCCCTAACTATATGTGCTTTCTTTAATCTTTTTGACATTGTTTAAAAGGAGATTATGCATATATTATTCCATCCATCCATTTTCTTACACGCTTATCCCAATTGGGATCGCGAGGGATGCTGGTGCCTATCTCCAGCTGTCTACGGGCGAGAGGCGGGGTACACCCTGGACAGGTCACCAGTCCATCGCAGGAACTGGAAGTTATAGTTAATCAATATGTCATTCCAATCAAGAAGTTAAATGTTTATAACTGACAATTTGCTCAATTACCAGGTGTTATTAACTGCTTATGTTTGTAGCTGGTGGTTTTGGACCAAATGTTAAAATCCAAGATGTCTTAACCACCAGTAAATGTCAATAACTTGGTGTATAATTTAAGGAGATTTATTATTCACTAACCACAAGAAAATGTTTTTCCCGGTTTTAAGTTGCTACTCAAAAGAAGCAGGCTCTTCTCTTTTTAGACAACTGGTCACTTGTGTGTAAATCATCACAGACTACCACAATTAAAAGAAAAGGGTTACTTTATTAAACATATAATCCCTACCACCATATTATTGTTTAATAAAGTATTCAAACCACACAAGCTACTGCAATAAACACAGAAAATAAATGAAAGAATCAGTAAACGTAAAAGAGCTCAAATGAGTTCTTCAGGTAGAGACTTTGATCATGTTCAGTTAATTTGCTCCTCTGATGTGATCCACTGTGGGGATGTCCTTCAGATTAGCAGCAGAAATGATAAAGAGCAGACAGATGTGTTACTAGCTGCATTAGAAACTGGCAGAAAAACAATTACCACTCATTAAAGCTGAGAAAGTAGACATATTTGTCTCTTTTTCTGTTTCTAATTTGTTGAACTGTGGACTCTGAGTCTGTAATTATAAAGTATTTCATATCGTTGACTGAAGCTTTATACATTTGTCAGAGTTAATATAGTTTATGTAAATCTAATTGTATAGCCACTTATTCTCTGTTTATAATTTCCTCCACTTGTTTTAGAATTAAGCATCACATGTGAGATAGAGATACATAGAGATAGGATTTTTTTGTTTTTCACTCCAAAGACTAATTTTCAGAATAAGCGTCTGACTTATTTACAAATTGCTTAGCATCTCCATTAAATGGTTAATATTTGATCTCTTAAAATGCTAAAATGCTTAATTTTGTTGTTTTACTTTGGATGTCTATTATCCTAATTTACGTGCTTTCTTCTGTGGTCTCATTCCCTTCCTTACAGCCCTGTCAGATGTTATACTGGCTGGCACAGACTGCTTGGTGGCTGGAGACTCGTGCTCCAGTGATGAGACATGTAGTCCGCGCCTACGCACTCTGCGGCAGTGTGTGGCCGGCGACGGCAGCATGAAGCTTGGCCCCAGTGCCAAAAGCCAATGTGCCAACGCAGTGTCTGCCCTCCTGTCCAGTCCCTTACGTGGCTGCCAGTGCAAACGAGGAATGAAGAAGGAAAAAAACTGTCTCAGCATCTACTGGAGTCTTCATCAGTCCATCATTCATGGTCTGTATTTAATGTAGAAAGCATGTTTTGATAAATCACAAACACAGCAACAGACTAAGTTAGATGTATTATTTCATCCCTTTGTGTCTATAAGTGACAAAAATAAAATACTGATTTATTTTCTGCGTTTTTGGTTTTATCTTCTAATCTTTCATTTAGGCCATCTGTTATATTTTCAGGACTGAACCTCGTGGAGAGTTATCCCTATGAGACGGTGTACAGGGATTATGATTATGTCCGCTTGGCTTCGATTACAGCAGGTTTGCTGACATCCTCATTACAGTTCCCCCTGTTGTTTATACCATTTCATCCTTCAAAGTCATTTTGTTCTGGAAATAAGTCACATAATCCACTGACCTCCCTGGAAACATGCCTAATACAAATAAAACTATTTCATGGCAATCCTACATAACATAAATATTCATCTGACTAATTTCAAACAATCGAACTTATTTGTTTATGTTGTGGGTATTTTTGGATACACATATCCTTTACATTCATAGTTTTAAATAAAACAGAATAATCACTGTGTGTTACAGCATGCTAATGGGGAATTTTCTTTAAGTAACCAACATTTAGTCATATCATGCCGTAATCTAAATCTTTTTAGAATAGGACTTTTTAAACAATAAATCCATACAGAAAAATAAATTAAACTGTTAAAATTGGACAATTGCTTTCTGTTAGAGATGAAGACTATGGATTGGTGAAGCTGTTTGCATTTATTTTTGTTTATGATATTCACTCTGCTTTTCTTGCAGATACATGTTCCTGTACTTTTACAGCTTTACATGATTGTCTTGTTACCCTGCTGTTCTCTCAATCTGAAGAATAGCTACGATAAATACATGCTAGACAAAAATGATCTCTTCCAAAAGACCACCTCCAATTTTGTGATGCATTTTGTGGTAAAGCCAGAGATTTATAAACTGAGGCGATGTACCCTAATTTTTTTTAGTGAGTTTTAGTGAGGAGGTGGGCAGCAACACCCTTGCTCAACTACAGCAGGGTTTCTGCGGGTCATTAAAACTCATTAATGTTATGGTTCTTATTTGTTGACTCTGAGTTTTCTGTTATCAGTTGTTTTGTTATTTTCCATTATCTTCAAGCATTCTTTAGTTACTCTCTGTTGCCCCCTTGTGATTGTTTTCTTTTCCCTTGGATTCCCTCTTGCCAGTTCCACCCACACCTGCTCCCCATTCAGCTCGTTAGTCCATCCTTTTGTTTGGTTGTCCTTAAATACTCCACCTCTGCAGTCTCTCAGTGCTGGTTCCTTCTTGTTGCTGTGTTGTCTACTCTGCTCGTCTCTCCCTGGCTCCTCAGACTCGTCTTTACCCTGATGTCTCCATGATTTTGGTTTGTTTTATATTTTGAGTTGGATTTCTGGATTTCTGCCTCTGCTGCTTTTTGGTCAACAATTAAACCTCTCAAAACTCATCCCTGCTTCACTTGTCTCTGCATCTGGGTCCTCAAGCAACCTCACCACCCATTGTTGACAATTAAATGTCATTAAATTATTATTTTTTAAATTAAGTTCTTAATTGGCATTAAAATTCACCAAATGTGTTTATTGTGGCATTCTAAATGCTTTCCCAAAAAGAAATAGTTTATAAAAACAATTTCGTCAAACATATCATATCACGATATATTTGTGGGGAACTTCTTCCGGTTGATCGCAAAGCCGTATGTTCGGAAAAAGCTAGAGATTTGGGGAAAAAGGCCCATTTCAACTAAAGCGTACCTGTTGTTGGCATTAAAATTATTTATAAGAGCATTAAAAGATTAGATTAGATGAGCTTTATTGATCTCACAGCGGAGAAATTCACTGGTCACATATTGACATAGTAATTAAAGAAGGTGCAAACAAGGAGGAAAAGGTGCATTAAGAATAAACAAGCAAGCACTGTATATACAGTATATCAAAATTAAAGCATTAAGTGAGAGTTATTCATTCCTGTATATACCCTGTATAGTTATCTGACCCAATTTTTATGTAGATCTGTGGGAAAAAAATAAAGATAAAGATACTAAAGATAAATGGATGAGACTGGATGAGATTTTTAAGATTCTATTAGGTAATTAGTCCTTTCAAAGTTTATTGCCCACAGTGTCTAAGTTTCACCATATATAGTTTAGAGCCAATAACTCAACTAAGAATTCTATGTGCTTGTTTGCAGAAAGCATCAGAGTTCACTTGGATTGAGGTTGTGTTGTTGTGTTGCGTTCCAGGGTCCCAAAGCCTTTACCAGTCATAAAATCCTGCTTATAAAATGGGCTGCTGTATTTTTAACCAAGTAGCACTTGAAGTCTTTATTATCTCACTGATAGCTTGCAAATGGTCAGACTTCAGTCATGTAAATCAGCAGCTATCAGTTTTTCAATGGGTTTTCCTAAAGGATCAACCTTAGAGCTATTGCCTTTCTTACTTAATGTGAGTTATCTTCCATCTGTTCAGATGGCAACAGTGAGGGTGGAGGTCGGTGTTGGTCCTGTAAACTGACTGTCATGGGTTTGAATTTCAGCTCCTTTGTCTCAAGGCTACAACACACCGAATCTGATTTTGCATCAGATCCGACAGAAAGCTCAGTTGATCAATCTCCTCGAAAAAAAAAACAATAAAATAACCTTAGAAGGAGAAAAAAATAGCAAAATAGTAATCACAAAAAACAAAATAACAAGGGGCAGAAAGAGCAGGTACAGTAATTAAGCGCAGCGTATCTTTCTCACCTCTTTATGAAAAAAACTAAAAAGTGATAAACCTCCCAGAGCTCTCTCTGAGAATCATCTCTCACTGCCTCAGTTAGAATATAAACCATCCCACTGCATATATTGCCGTGTTTTTCTTTTCTTTAGACGTTGATCTTGTTATGTTTTTAATATAGGCAAAGAAACATTCTCTATCTGTTCTGGTTTGAGATGCTGCACAGACTTGCTTTGCTTTATAGGTGTGCCAGTGTTTAAAAAAACAAAAAAAAACAAAAACTTTTCATAATCTGTCTAAGTCAAATGTGGAAAATTGTTTGAATTTGTGTATAGCACAGATGCAGAAGTGAAAAAAGTCTTCTCAGATCTGCCCACTCTGCCTAGTTGGAGCGTATTCGCGGTCAGTGTGACATGGAAAAAAGCGGTGTGTTCAGGCCTTCAGTCTTACCTAGAGGTTCCACTGAAGGTGTCGTTCCTCAGGGCTGTCACAGTGGATCACTGCAATTGTAGTCCAAGTGAGGCATCTCTGAAGCACCGGCTTGGTGGCCACTCTTCTAAAATAGCTGGCTTTTCAGTTTCAGCTTCTTGTTGCTTCAGTTCCACTTGGAGCAAAGAGGATTGTTCAGCCAGGAAGTCGGTTGATGAAAAGCAAAGCAGATCTGGTCGAGTTTACAAAAAGATTACATGTGCAGACTTTGGATCGCATTTCCAGGACTTTGATTTGATAAAAAAATATTTTCAAATATCAAAATGTTTAAATTGATGTACTTGAATGACAGGTGTGATGAATATGACCATTAAATCAAACTGGAAAAATGTTTTCTGACTCACTCATGATGTAATAAAAAAACCTATATAATATATACTGTATATATCCCAAGCACCTTTTTCTTCCTTTTAAACCTTCTTCTTCTCCTTGGACTTTTCGAGCTGTTGTATTGAGTAAATTTCTTCTCTGTGACATAAAGTCAATCAATCAATCAATGATGATTAGTGTAATAGCAGGAACAGATAGAACTGGTAAAATAAACACCTTACTGGTTTATTGTTTGATTCAAAGCCTATAAGCACACTACTATAGCAGGCTGATGCAAACGTGATCAGAGTGCAACCTTATAGAGATGCTCCAGCATGAAAAAGCTCTCAGTGGAGGATGGTGTCTGTTAAAAGCCACACTGCAGTTGAACAGCGCTACATCTGAACAGTTTCCCCCATGAGGGGAACCCATGGGTCAGTTGTGTCCTTGGGCAAGTCTCTTCAGCTGCATTGCCTACTAATGGTGGTCAGAGGGTGTGGTATCACTTGTGTAACGCAGCCTCACTTCTGCCAGTCAACCCTGGTGCAGCTTGCCACCATCAGTGTGCGCTTGAATAGATGAATGACTTAATGGAGTATAAAGGGCTTTGATGTCATTTGACTTGAAAGGGTGCTATATAGGTAGAGGCCCTTTTTTATTTATCTAATATATGTTGTTTGACAAGGTGTTATTCACAGTAGTAAGATGTTTTCCAAGTGGCTGAAAAGCTTACCAAAAGGTAAGTGTGATGAGTCTTTTCAAAAGTAAGAATAAAAGAATGAAAAATGGTGTAATAAGGAAAAAAAGCTACAATATTTGGTTAAATCAAATTTGGGATTAATTCTCCCATTTAAACGTTTGCAAATATATTGACAATACATTATTTCCAATCCCTTGTCCACATTCCTCCAGTTAGACGTTGTAAATATTGTGATGATTTCAAATAAAATGGGATAAAAAAGCTTCTTTGCCGTTTTTGCCATTCTAGTCAACCAACGTGGTTAGCTTCTGTCTTTTGTGATATACATTTGGAGAAATTAAATTTAGAGTTTTGTGATAACTATGTCATCTTTCACTTTTCTTGATGATTGATGAATGTCTTAACTATGCCATGTTATATAAATAATGTTGAACTTTCTTTGCATTTCTTCTAATACCTTTGTAGAAGACATGTTAGTTCCCTTTCAGCTTCTCTGCAAACTATGGCTTTAGTAATTAAAAATGCAAGTATTGTGAAATGATGAGGAAAATCTGTAAGAATGGTGAACTTTATTTTAGATTAATGTTAGTTATGGGCTCAAAAAGGAAGGAATTGTGTTAAAAGTTATTAAAAGTTACTTCACTAAAGTTTATGTTAGGGTGTGCATGTTCGTAACCAGAATGCTACATACTCTTATTCTACCCATAGCTGTTGTGCAATGTAGATAAAACATTTTGAATGATTATTTTATGGTCCCAATCCTAAGTGACAAAATTTAACACATTGCCCACTTTGTGTACATTTCTGAGAACCAGTTGATCAGATTTGTTTCCAAGAATTCATGAATGGCTGTGGGTTTGGCTATTTTAATTAACATGCTCGGAAAAAATATTAAGGTCAAAGAAACAACAACATAAATAATGAATATTACAAGTATCCTCCACAGGTCATACTTATTTGAATAAGCAATTATTTTACAGAATGCTAATACTTTTCATCTGACTTATTGACTCTGTGCATCCTTTCATCCACAGACTCGGAAGTTGGCATGAAAACTGTGAATCGCTGCCTGGATGCAGCCAAGGCTTGCAACGTGGACGAATTGTGCCAGAAGCTGCGCACTGAATACGTCTCCACTTGCATCAAACCTACTTCCAAATCAGGCTTGTGCAACCGGCCTAAATGCAACAAGGCCCTGCGCAAGTTCTTTGACCGAGTACCTGTCGACTACACACACGAACTGCTTTTCTGCCCTTGTACAGACACTGCATGTGCAGAGCGTCGAAGGCAGACCATTGTACCAAGCTGTTCCTATGAAAATGGGGAAAAACCCAATTGCATTATACAGATGAAGAATTGTCATGCAGACTATGTATGCAGGTTAGAACATAGCAAAGTTGATGCATTTTATTATTTGCCATATTTTTAAGACTGTTAATAGAATTGCAGTTCACAGCTGTTTTAGTAAACAATAAATGAATAAACTGTAATTAAATCAGCCAAAAGGACACCTGTTTTACTTTAAAGCTTTTTTGCCACCATTGCATTAAACACCCCAGTGAGAGACTGTTTAAATAACCTGTTAAATATTTAGTGCCGACTGAGAAGCAGATGGATCAGAGTTATTGCTCATTGCTATCTCCTGTGCATGGCCATTATTTTTCTTCAGCCCCATTACACTCACAGGGCTTTACTAATGATCCCAGGTCTGGGGTATGAAATATATTATTCTCCCCATCACATTATGTCTGCATTTCAGTAGTTTAAGTCTCTTTAGCATGTAAAACTATATATCTTTCATGTCATGTTAATTAAAGTTAGAACAGAAATAATTAATGAAAAAAAGCTAAAGGTTCTGCTTGAAACTTCACAAATTTCTGTCATTATTCTGCTAACTTGCACCCATCATGTTCTTTTGCAGGTCTCGTCTGGCACAGTTTAAGTTTGATTGCGAACCATCAGAAACATCTGCCAATGGCTGCAAGCAGGAGAACTATGGAGCGTGTCTCAGCGCCTACACAGGGCTTATAGGTGGGCAGACATCTAAGATGTTAGTCAGAGAAGGAAAACATGTGCAAACAAAACCAAATATGCTGCTGCATGACAAAATGGGGATATACTCTATATGCTGTTTGAAACATAGGACAAACAGACAGGACTCAGTGAAAGCCAGGTTGAAGGGAAAATAGCGTGCACAAAACACAATAGGATTGAGTGGGAGACCTTACTAAGCAAGACAGTAAAAAAAACTTAACCTGAAAACCTCTCTTAGTGCAAAACAAATAAGACATGCCTTCTATATAATGTAAGGTGCAGTGTATGTATTTGCTAATAGAAAAATAATGGTTATTTGGCTTTTTTTTTTTTAATGGCTTATTTTCCATGCTAGATTTAACGTAATGCATTTCAAGGACATTCAATGGACACTCTCAAAGCATTTTAAACCCTGTCTTGTATTTATGAAAGCACTTATAATTCCACAATCACCATGCTGATGAGAAAAGTTCCTAGATGTAAAATGATAGAAACAGAGTAGTAGATCAGTGAAAAGACTCTCTTACCTCTAATAATACTGTGTCATTATATCCTCATAAAAGAACAACAGGAAATACAATATCCATTAATGTTTTTAAAAAAAAAAGCAGTATGAATGTAGTGTAACAATTCAACCAATAATGAATATTTAATTTTAATCGACCACTAGTGCTGTCTGTCCGTCTGCAGGAAGTACAATTACTCCCAACTATGTCGACAACTCTACATCCAACGTGGCTCCATGGTGCTCCTGCTCATCGTCTGGGGAGGCGAGGGATGAATGTGATCACTTCCTGGGACTTTTCACAGACAACAGCTGTCTCCGTGAGTCCACAGCAGTCTATTTCAACTACAAATGACAACATGTTTTCAGTGGAAATGTAATAGACTAACACAAAAAAGACTTGAAGCTGTAAAATGAAAAGAAAAGGACAGAAGGTGGTAAAACCTTTAGAAAATGTAAATCCGTACAGTATCATGTGCATACCCTTTCAGCCAAAAGTAACTGGGCTGGCTCCTAGAAGTAGATTCATAGCCAACACTGACATATTGATCAGGATTTCTACAAATGTCCAATCTCTTTTTTCAAGTAAAGCAACTAATACCATTTGCCTTTTCTTGGTGATGTGTCTGGCATCTTGAGGGCACTTCTCAAACTGCTCAACTTCATCTCGAGACACATGTGGTTTAGTGGCTATAAATTTAAATTATAAGTTTAGGGGCTATAAATTCTAAATATACAGTACGTATATCAAACACCAATCAAACCAATAAAACCAGTATATTTCTAAGAATATATGTAACATTATAACATTATAAAAACACTTTATGACAACATAATTTCATGTACAAGTTTACTTTTTGTACATAAATATTGCCCTTCTGAGGCTTTGTGAAGTAAAATCTTTTTTTTGAATGATCAAATACCTAAAAAAAAAAGGATTATGCACCAGTTCATGATGGAGAAGCTATTTGTCAGCTTTATATATTTTTAATATATAAAAACTATTTATTTTCTGAGAATGTGCTTATTTAAGAGCAACTATGCAAATTAACATACACCTAGAAAAAGTACACTATATTGTATTATTTTCCATGTGAATCCCAGATTGTTCATGATTTGTTGCCTTTTCTAGAAAGTGCTTTAAATCAGTTCTATATGTCTTTATCCATGCTGGGTCAGATCCTGACGTTTGAAAAAAATCAGAATAAAGCGTTAGCCACCAAAGCAAAAGAAAGCAATAAAAACAATAGAATAGGACATATATATGGTCTATTTCAGATTGTGGTAGAAATGTTTTATTTGACAGCAATCCAAAAACAATATTCATGCACTTAGTCCCAAAGCACAGCCATATGGCCTTTCTAATGCCTCCTTTTCCTTGGTAATTTATCTATTCAGGTTGAGACAGATTGAGTTGGTTCAATTCAGATTAATGAAGTTTCCATTACAATGTGGTAGTATCTTATTTGGGGCAGAATTTTTAAAGATATAGTTCAGGTTTTGCTGACATGAAGTTGTGAGAAACGTTCACAGGCTATAGTTGAGATCTAATAGTGTCCCTACCAGCACAGAGACTCTTGCTATGAGAAACAGAAGGCAACGCAACAGAGAAAAAGTAGTTCTGAACTGTACAGGAGCGCTGTTAATCAAAGGTTTTTATGCTAGAAAAACGATGCATCTGTTTTGCTACACTATTTAAGCATTTTAAAACATCTCAAACCTATGTCAGACCTTGATTTCAATTAGGACTATGTTTTGGCTGCTATTACTCCACGCGTAGGTGTGAAAGACAGTTGTTGCAAAGAGAAATAAATTAAACAGCTCATCACCACACCGAATACTTAAAAGTTGTTTACAAAAGTGAACTCTCCACACTACCTCTTATCTCAGCTGTTATAAACAAGTAGACATGCTTTTTAAATCAAAGATCAAAGATAGATAAAAATAATGTTGTGAAAGAACAAAGTGGGGAATACTCTTAAGAGCTTTTTGGTTGAATTTGAAAAAATCAATTTTATTTTAATCCTAGAAGGACTGTTCTGTCATCCTCCCATACCTCAAGTGCAGACAGTAGTCAGCTGCTGCCTTCTGTTCTCTGGTCTGGCACTATCTTTTCCCAGTGTGCTTTTCTGATCTGTCTGCTGGTTGTTGGATTCACCTCAACATTAAGGACATGGATTTACTCAGTGACTCAGTGCTTTTTTTTTTTTGAAAACTGAACAAAACTGTTGGCTTCCCAAAAACCTCTTAAGAGCATTCTCGCTTAATCATTTGTCAATTCTTTTTTCTATATCTTACATTTTAATTTGAAAGGTGGTACTGTAGTTACATATAAACAATGTATACAATATATCGGGCTTGTACATGTTGTCCATCACTAATATTGGCCAAATAGTTTACTTTTGTAAACAACTTTTAACTATTCGGGGTGTTGATGAGCTTTTTAATTTCTATTTCTGTTCTTACGAACTGTCTTCTGCATGTACACGGCAGCGGGAATTATTATCAAGGTCTGACATAGTAACAGGAAATTTTAAAATAATTGAAATAGTCTGACAAAACACTTGCATAGTTTATATCTTAGAAATACCTTTGATTAACTGTGCTTCCATACAGTACTGGAACTACTTTTTTCTCGTGCGTCCGAGAGCACCGGCTTTTTCTCATAGCAGGAGGTTAAGTGATGGTAGAGACACTGTTGCATCTCAGCTACAGACGTTGAACGTTTTACACAATTTCATGTCCAAAAACCTGAACTACTCCTTAAAAGAAAGGTAAATTAAAAATGCCAAATGCAATAAGATGGCAAAAGGTGGTGGCATGTCCTTGTTGGTGTGATTGTCTTGTGTGTCATTACTTCTTCCTTCTATAATTTCTGAATATAGTTGGCACTGCCACTCCACCTCCTTTCTGCATTTACCACATGTATTTGTTGAGGTAAGCACAGACTGTTAAGTTAGCACATTGCCCTTTTTCGTTGGCCAGTTGTGACATGTTGTCACAAGAGGAGTTTGTCTTTTTTTTGCATTCTTGGCTCCCAAATGCAACTGAGCAAGCTCACTGACAAGCTCCACCAGGAAGTGCCTCATGCACCCCAGTGCATGCCTGATAAAGCACATGTGAATTCAGCTCAGCCATGTCAGTCATGTTGTAAAACCCAGCACCTAGCCTCACTGTGCCACTGAGAGCACGGTGTACTCTTGCACCATCTGTTCCATCACATCCACACTGTTCCTCATACCGTTGTAGTCAGTGACTATGTTTGGGTTCTTTTTCTGGGTATACCCATTTTCAACCACACTGTATATTATACACAGAATTCTGACAGTCCAACTGTCTGGGCACATAGACCTTCAGTGTAGTACAAGACACTGAAAACGCCAGATGAATAAGCTTAGATTTAATGTTATTATAATAGCACACTACATAGCACCCAGGCACTTGAACTATAACAAGAATTAAAAAATCCTATATCTACAAGATACCCGAGTACTGAAATGGTGTTGGTCCAAATTTTGTTTGGCTGATAAGAGAAGCACCAGGCCAAACTCATTGACTGTGCCAAAGAGAATGGTCTTCTTGCTGAACAGTCAAAGATCATGTAAACTTATCTAAGCTACTCATAGACCGTTGTGTTAACTCACAGACTGGAAATGCACTGCACAACACTCTTAGATTCAGACTTTAAGATGGTGAACATCTGTTTGAGACAAAAAAAAAACACTGGATTTTTGTAATCTAATACTGCATTCTTTCAAAGTTAGGTTGTCAAGTTACCAGTAATGCTTTAAGGCGCCCTTTTGATATGTGAGCCAACAGTTATGAAAGTAGATACATTGATTAATAAAATAGCATACACAGTCAGTAGGTCTTCGGAGAACTTGCTACAGAGGCAGTCAGATTAGTACAGGTTAATTTATATTTCACATTTACTAATAAATAAATACAATGCAATAAAATACTTAAAAGTAAATAAATAAAATGCTTAAGAAATAAATAGAAAAAATAATTGAATCAAACCTGCATTGGATGCTTCGAAGTCTCTTACCAGAGGGCAGCAGGGAGAACAGTCCATGGTGTGTGAGGGGTCATTTATGATGTTACGGGCTTGGAACACGCAGTGCTGGAATGAAATGGTTTTAATGGAGGGAAGAGGAGCACCGATGATCCTTTCTGCTGTTCTCACCACTCTCCTCACTTTCTTCCAGTCTGAGGCGCTGCAGCCTCCACCCCACACAGTGAGACAGCTGGTCAGAACGCTCTCTATGGTGCTTCTGTAGAAGGTGGTGAGGATGGGTGGGGGCAGGTGGGCTCTCCTCATCCTCCGCAAGAAGTACATGCACTTCTGTGCCCTTTTGACCAGTGAGTTGGTGTTTACATTCCAGGTGAGAGTGTCTGTGATGTGAACCCCCAGGAATTTGGTGATGTTGACTACCTCTAGAGCTGAGCTGTTGATGACCAGTGGAACGTTGTTAGGTGGGTTCTTCCTGAAGTCCAAGATTATCTCCTTCATCTTCTCCATGTTCAGGATCAGGCTGTTATCTTTTCACCAGTCCACCAGCTGCTCCACCTCCTCTCTGTAGTTCTGGTCGTTGTCGTCACTGAAGAGGCCCACCACCGTGGTGTCGTCTGCAAATTTTATGATGTGATTGGAGGTGAACCTGGTGACGCAGTCATGTGTCATCAGGGTGAACAGCAGGGGGCTCAGGACGCAGCCCTGAGGGAAGCCTGTGCTTAGGGGGATGACATCAGAGGTGTTCTGTCCAATCCGGACTGACTGAGGTCTGTTGGTGAGGAAGTCTAGCAGCCAATTGCAGAGGGGTGTATTGAAGCCCAGCTGTTCCAGTTTGCCCATCAGATGCTGTGGGATGATGGTGTTGAAAGCTGAACTGAAGTCCAGGAAAAGCATCCGCACCCAAGCCTTCCAAAGAAGTTGTTCAGTTTATTTAGGGAGTCAGTGTTTGCTGCATCTAATAAGCAGGCTGAATTAACGTTCCTAAGGTTCTATTGAAAAAAACAAAAAAACATTGTGATTATGACTGAAACTTGTTCGACAAGTTGAATTCTGAATAAAGCGTGCAAGCATACCCCTCCCCCTAGTTGCATACCCACGTCACATGTCCCCTCCGTCATCCACTGCAAAAAGTCACTGTGGAGAAGTCCTCACTCGATGAGCGCAGGACCCATCCTTGCATCCCCTCTTATTTTGAAATTTACTCGTACAGCTCTGCTGTTTTTTTAGCAATTGATGATTTTTTTCTCATTAATTCATCACAAATAGACTTGATCCATAAATCTGATGGGTGACAGGGGAGCTGTTCCTCACGCTGCAATGCAAGAGTGTCAGTAATAATTACCATACTGACCAGGAATTCTTCTGTTGTGATGGAACAGAGGACACATGGATGAATAAGTCTTTGTGAAAGAGGGGTAAGGAGTATTGTTGAATATCTAATCTAGCAGGTCATGGCTCCATTTGCAAATGGTAGGAGGCTAGGGGGGTTGTTAATTCAAAACTATTAAGCCTGAGGCTTCCCTGTCGGCATCGTAGCAGGACTACTGTTTTTTGTGCTAAAATACAAAACACACTTCAAGATTCACATAAAAAATTACAACACATAAAAAGCTACTGGTAAAAACACCTGTTAGAAGTGCTATGTAAAAAGGCTTGAAATTACTGTCACAAGTTTCTTCTTCCCAATTAAAATGAGCTTGAGGTATTTTCCAATAAAATGGGCAAAATTTCCAACAGCTGCTATCAAAGCAAACTGTGATTACCTCAAGAAGCTGTACACATAATGCATTTCTGACTTCTCTGATTTTGATCCTTTTTATTAAAGGGGTCATTGGATGCAAAACCGAGTTTACATTGTCATAGATGAATAACGATAGTTCAGTGTGTGAAATGGACTTACAGAGAAGTTCAAACCCCTTCGACACCTCCTTTCTATGCAAATCTCACAATTCTAAACTTACTCCATAAAACGGGTGAATCCAATAAAGCCCAGGACATCAATTCAGGGATGTTGCCTTATTTGGTTCTGGCCTGTAATTTTGTCACACCCCGAAATCGCTGTTTAGCCTACAGTTGGGTTTACTTCTACAAGAATTACAAAGCAGGCAGTTTCTCTATTGAAAGTGAGCCAGAACCATGGGTGTAAATGCAGTGTTCCAGGCTGCACGGAGAAAGGGGAACATTTTCACTGTCTTCCTAAGGATCCGAAGACTTGACAGACATGGATTATTTTTGTGTATTGTTTTTTGTGGATTGTATAAACAAGGCTGCTCAGCTTTGGTTTGGTTGTTCTGTCTTTAGGATGAACCAGTTTTTGTCTGAGCATGTTGTTGGGTTTGAAATTCAACGCAATGTTTTGCTTTGAGAAAATCCTTCTGAGTTTCTAAGAAATCCCTGACACATACATTATGGAATTACAATGTTTTTGAGTCTCTGTGCTCTCCTCTGTGTTAGATGCATTATTGTTCTTCCTGTTTGTTTTTAGCTCTCTAATATGAAATTGAGCTTTATTATCTAGGGCTTTATGTGTAAGAAGAAGGATTTACACTTCTTTCGCATAAATGGATAAAGCTTGTGTTTTTTTGTATTCCATGTAAGAATTTCCAGCAAGTGGAGTAGGATCAAAAAGCGATATACACACATAGTAACATTTAATAACAATAGTAAAACTTTACTAAAATACATGCTGCATGCGACTATTTGATTTTGAATTAAAAATTAAAACTGTATTTACTAATTACATTGAATTATGTGGATAAACTAAAACAGGAACAACAGAAATAGACCCAATGGTATAATCACAGAGTATTTTGTGGCTGCAGAAATTTATAGAAAAACGTGTTTGGTTTCTGATTGACAGGAGGCTCCAATGGAAGAAAAACGTGTAGTACAGACAAAAAGGAAAAACAGATTTGGCGAAGCATATCTAATGTTAAATGTAATTCTTAAAGGAACAAATATGATATGGTCTTGTAATATATCTTTGTGGGTTGCTTTTTTTCCTTTATGTTGCAATCCAAACTATAACTATTCCATTAGCTCAGTTAGCCTTTGGGAGTCTCACATAGTTCATGTGTCTTGATTCCAGTGAGTGCCCTGTAATCAAAGACATCCTACATGTGGGCTTCTGTGAGTTAACTGTGCAATGTCAATTTGAACGGTTGAACATTTTTTATGTTACAGATGTAATTTGACTACCTTTCTTAATTTGCTCCTAGTGATACAGTCATTACTCATACAAGTGGGGGAGTGATGGCCTGGTGGTTAGGGCAGGGGGTCTTGCATTCTGCAAGTTCCCTGGTCTTAATCCCACAGTGTTCAGTGGCAGCCCACAGTGCAGAAAACTAAATATAATTGGAATGTACAGTTGCTTTGACAAATCAACAGATTATTTGGCAATTATTAAACCATAAACTAAAGGGCAATGTCTCATCATGCAGTTCGGATGATAGAGGTACTGCATATCACTGCTGTATTACACAAAAACTTAGGTATGTTGTCAACGTCATCCAAAAAAAGAGAAATTTTAATTGTTCCACAAAAAACCAAAACAACAAAAACAAATTCAAAAATACACTTTAGTTTTTCACAAAAGAACTGTGGCTTCTTTGTTCTGGCAAAATGCACTGACGCCAGACTTTGCATAACTGGAAAATACTTGGGTACAAGACTCCAGCAATTAAGAAGTAAAAAAAGATTTATTTTAGGTCGTAGTTCCAATTTTCTTTCAAGTCAACATGTTTTAAGGCAGCTGCACAATCTTACAAGTTGTGTGAGAGACTCATGCTGCAAACTAACTCAGGAAATTGAGGACCAATTGCCAAAAAACTGGAGGGAGCCAGTCAGAAATTTGACTGTTATCTGGGATCTTACTACTGCTGCTGTGTTTAATTTAGTATGTGTATTGTGAGTGGAGTCCTCCTTGTTTGGTTTGTACACTTGGATTTAAATGGCTCAAGTTATGTAAATCATTTTTGGAATATTTGCATTTCTGTTATGCATTATGTTATTGCATAATAGTTATGGTTGAATATCTGAACAAGGTGCAAGTTGTGGTACATTTTGGTAACAGTGAGAACCCCTACATTAATTTATGCTTAAGATTTAGAAAAAAAAAATGTAAGACTGTGCTATGGATATGTATATTGGAATTAGATTTGTCCAGTTGTTCTTAGTCCATTTATAATTAATGCATGTTCTGAATATTATGTGTTCACTAACTGACAGGTCTATTTGTCCCAATATTTCTACCTGACTACTGTCAATAGACTAATCACAAAGAGTGAGATAAAAGCAAATGAAGAAAAACACTAAACTGCTAAATCATTAAATTTTGGTCACTTAAAAATCTTTAATTGACAAAGAAATGCATAGTTTTTATAAAGCAGTTAACAACATACAGATGCTACATCACTTTCTTCAAAACAAGAGAAAGTTAAACACAAAATTTATATATTTTACTATTTAATAAAAAGAATCACAATCATTGTAACTGATGGGGGGATATAAAATCTCTGATTTTACCTCCACATTTCTGTAATGTATTTTATATTTTTCTAAAATAGTTATCAATCTCTTTGTGTATTTTATGTGCATTCTATACGAATATTATCTAGGTAAATTCATAATCGTTCAACACTGGACATTTTGGACTTTCTAGATTCTGGACGAATGAATCTAGAACCCCTTTATTTGTAATAAAAAGATCAAACATGGATTTGAAGCAAGCTACAGTTGTAATTTCCATGTTTATCCCCTCTAAAAGCAACTGGCATTACCTAAACTGTTGCAAATAATTGGAATCTGGTAGCAGACCACTTTTGATCTGTGGATTGAAAAGTCACAGAGTTACTTGTAAAGATAAGGCCATATTCACCTCTCTATATTAAATCCTACATCAAAAAACAAACAATCTGTCTCATCTCTCTCTCAGGGTTAGCTCTTGTGCTAAAGGTGGTGCTCTGGATCACATGACTAAGTGACAGACTAAACCTTTCCAGATGAAATAGGCATGTGTTTGAGAAGGGAAGCCTACACTCTGTTTCTGGTCTGAAAGTTATTTTAACTAAAATGAAGGTAATTATTGGGTCAAACATACATAGTGCCACTGTAACAAAACCAAGCTTATATAGATATACTCTGTAAATTAGATACAGAATGACCTTAACACAGTGTGGACAACCTAAGAATTAATATCTTGGACTGTGGAAATGCGTGAGTGCTCAAAATGTTTAATAAAATGAGGTAGTTCAATCGTAGAGGATTATAATTGTAAATCACAGATTTTATATGTTGTTTAGGTGTAGTAGGTCATGAGCTAGATAACGAAAAGTTACGTACACCAATCATGGTGCAAACAATGTAATTTTAAAGTAACTTTAGGAGATTGCTTTATGTTAGTTTCATGAACAGACTTATTATTGAAATGATAATGTACTTCTTTCCATTTTCTGTTGTGCTTCATCTCCTCTATTTTCCATCCTGACCCTTTGCCTGTTTTGCCCCTCATGACCTAAGGTTTAAATAATTAATGTGCTTCTTGTGGACCTATAGGAGATAATATTTTTTTCTCTTAAAATGCTAGTTGAGTTAATGTGCTTGTTTCAAGGAAAACTGAGCATTGACTGTTTTTGTACATAATCTCCCCTTTTAAAAATAGTTTTGTCAAACTGAAGGTTTGAAACTAAATGTATGAAAAATTGGAGGTGATTTATATAACAGAGTTTAAAACAAACAGAAAATTAGTAAGACTGTGAACTGTCCAACTCTAATAACATTTTATAACATGTTTGTTTCAGAAAATTCTCTGAAGATGTTTGGGAAAGAATTGGAGCAGCAAACACTGCTCAGTACAACAAGCAACAACAGAGAAGACGATCAAAGCAGCACTTCTCAGCCACATTCCATTGAAACTATAAGGAACATTCTGGAAAAAGTAATACCTACACAGGTATGTATGTTTCCTTTAAAACTCACCAAAAAAGCTCCAAAGATGCAGAAATTATGCTACGTTCACGCCTATGGTAACAAAAGCGGCTAGTTTACATGCAAAGTCAATGGTTGATGCGCAACACGGCTCAGCAAAAGATCTCAAGATCCATTATGGCAGCAGCAACTTCCACTGGAGTGCTTACAGAACTAATCTCTTATAATCTCCCGGAAATCAGTTTTTGGAACTTGGGATGTCTGCTACAGGCCCATCTCAAACCTCCCCTTCATCAGTAAAATTACTGAAAAAATCTTTGTTTCAGCAGCTTAACATCCTCCTAACAATGACCAGCAGCTTTGATGCCTTTTAGTTGGGCTTCTGTGCTCACCACAGTATATAGACTACAGTTTCAATGTGTTAAATGACATCCGTTTAAAGAAGACTGTGGAAAAAGCATAATGCATATAATATTTTAGACCTTAGTGCAGCATTTGACATTTTTTGATCATCCCATTTTGTTAGAAAAATAGGTGAATACCTCAATTTTTCTTGTTAATATGGAAGGTAAGAACTGAACACATATAACATCCATACAACATAACATACAATTATTGAGGCTGAAGTAGAGGATTTTGAGAAACCTGTTGACTTGGCCTTAAAATTTGAACAACAACTCCTTACAGGCCTCTCCCTTGCTCGCTTCTGTCCTGTGAATCTTTGTAAATATGTGTCCTAACCTTTAAGATTGTGATGGCCTGTCAATGGTCAGAGCTGATCAAGTTAGCTGATTATGGCCTTGTTGTGAGAAAATTTAGATTTCTCTTCTATTATATATTAATTTATCCTATTTACTCACTATAAAAGTTTTCACTCAGTCTGTTTCCCCTTCAAGGCCATACCATTCTCTGGTGATGGGTATTTGTAGACCAGACATAGCTTCTTCCCATAACATTTGTTTTGACTTCATTGTTGTACGTAAGTAAGGGGGAACGGACGCTGCTCAGGCAGAACAGGGCTGAATGCTGTGCCATAGTGGCTGTATGATGAACTGTTCTCTCATTGCAAAGATATGAATAAATGTTCACTGAGTGAAATCCATCAATCTCTGTTTATTTAACTACGGTGAATAGTTGAATACTTTTTCCCCACTAAAGGCTGCCATTCGATCACATGATCATTATTATTTTTAAGCTGAGATGGCAAAAGTACTCACTTTCCGTACTTGAGTAAAAGTACAGATACTTGTGTTAAAAAATACTCTGGTAAAAGTGGTAGTACTGATTAAACTTCTTTACTCAAGTAAAAGTAACAAAGTACAGGCTTGTAAATTTACTTAAAGTATAAAAGTAAAAGTAGAAACCACTTTTTTCATGCCGTTGCCTACATTTTAAATGGATGTCTGCCAATAGAACTAGATCTCCGTTGTGTTCATTTTCAATCATCTCGTCGTCCATGCTACTATGCTAACGCCACCGCCGCCAAGCTGCAATGATTTGCCGCGAATGAATACCACCGAATCTGTCGATTCATCTTGTAGTGGTGCGTCAAATGCAACGTAGATTCCCATCCAATTAGATTGAATTTGGTATTGATGACGTGAAAAATAATAACGGTAACTCCACTGAAATGATTCAAAACTAAAGTAACGAGATCATTTTTTAAAATGTAACGAGTAGAAAGTACAGATATTTGTGTAGAAATGTAAGGAGTAGAAGTAAAAAGTCGCCATAAAAATAAGTAGTAAAGTAAAGTAAAAATATCAGAAAAATCTACTTGGTACAGTAACGAAGTATTTGTACTTCGTTACTTCCCATCTCTGTTTTTAAGTAGTAAAAAAGTACAGAATTTAAAGGTTATATTTTTTTATTTCAAAACACACTCTTCAAATTTGACATTATCAACTAGTAGAACATGTGAACTTGGTCTTTAGCACAGCAGTGTAAATACTTTTTTCTCCATTTCAGGCTCTGGGAAACAAACTCCTGGTTGGCCATGGCACTCTTCCCTCCAACAGTCTCCCAAACTTGGCCCCAACTCCCAGCCAAATGCTTCAGGGTGCCTTCAGCATTCTGTTGTTGTTCCTCCATTGCATCTGCAGATATTAAATATTACCGGGAAACTTGCTAAGGACCCTTTAAACAGATGGAAGAACCAGAAGAAAATTGACCTTTGCTATTATTCCTTTGCCTAAACATGAACAGTTTTCCTTTTCATTACTGTATCAAAACAGACTAAATCCAAACAAGTGGGGAGCCTTCTGCAGTCTGGAGACAGTATGTACATTTGTACAACATGTGGTAAAACAAGCTGAAATGCAAACACGGTTTTGGGACTAACCCAGCTTTATTATAATACTACATATAACACAGATATGTGTGACACTGTACCATTTGATGAATCATATACCTGTAAAGATGTATTCGTTTTTGAAATAACAAAAGGGATATACTATATCTGAAGGACATCAGTGAACTCTGTGTCTGCACTATTCTGTGCTTCAACTGCCCTGGAAATGCTGGAGAAGATGGAGTTTACCACTCTCTATTTGCAGAATATGGAACTTTATTTCTTAAAGATACTGCAAAAGAGGTAAACCAGATTTTGTGTACACACACTGAACTAAAGTACACATGTTATATCGAGAATGATTTAGAAAACAAGACTAATTCTGATTCCCATCTCTGTCAACACAGCAGACTTTTGTTACAGGTCTTTACATCAAGCCTGTTCTGTTTTGGTGATAACACATCTGTTCATAGAACACATAGGTCTTTGGTCTTTATCTGTAAAAATATGTTGTGGGACTAAAAGGAAACAACCAGAACACAATAATTGTACCTGTAGCTGCTATGCCTTGTGTTTGTGACTGTAACGCCCTTTTATTTTAGTGATCGTTCTCTGCTTTTTCTGCCAAAGAATAAAGTGAACAAATTTGACATGTTCAGTTGTTATCAACACCAAGATAAAGTATCTTAGAGTTTTGGTAGTAAATATTGATTCTGTGTTTCTTTTTTTGTTTTTTGTGTCCGGTTGAAATTATATGAAATAGAAGAAAAGATAAATGCTTAATTTCTTTGTTGGAAAATAGCAGAAGCAAGGTGAAGCCGACAGCAGAAACATGTCGGGCATGTTATGAATTGGCAACAAACAGAAAAGCTTAATGCCTGTCCAGAAAGAGAGCAGAATTAAGCTAATGTTGAAAATATAGGCGGAAATGTATTAAATTAACAGAATCAGAAAAGAAATTAGCAAGACAAACATGAATCTCATCTGGTTGAAGAAATAAAAGTTTAGGATAAGGTTATTGACTAAATGTTGAATAATGTATTGAATGAGCAGCTTAGTGCTACATAAGAAGCTTGATTAGAGTGTAGAAAAGTTGAAGTAATGTAAAATATGAACAGAGAATTACTTAAGAAATAAGCTAAACGTGGAAACAAAAACTTTGGTAAAGTATTAGGAATGAGCAATAGTAAAAGCCTTCCTGAAAATAGAGGAATCAGAAAGAAGCAAATGGCAGAAGCATGGCTGATTATAGATTAAAAAACAACAAACTCTTAAGTTTAGAAATGCAATACATGCCACTGCACTCTATGAGCTAATACTTTAATAGATACAATCCAACTGCATGGCAACATTTCTTTAATATGAGTGCTAGAGGCTGAGGCTTTTTCACAGAATCAACACTTTCATGTGCCCAAACATTTCTGCCAAGAAGGCTAAACCGTAAATGATTTTTAAAAAATTCCTTAAACGTGAGTGCTAGAAGGGTCTGAAGATGTTTCATACCAAGTTTCATATTTGTACATCAAATGGTTGAGAAGAGGCGGCAATACGAAAAATATGTGTCGTTTTGGATTTTCTTCTGTGATTTTTGAAAACTCTCCCATTGAATTTCTGTTAAGGGAGTTTGGACTTCTTGGTGGTCTAGTCCAAACTGTAGGAAAACTGTAAATTCCACACCAATGAGTGTTACCATTTTTTTTTTTTTTTTTTTTTTTTTACTGTGTCTTGTCTGACCATGTGGCAAGAAAAATAATTGTCTTGATGCCAAAAAGAGCCCAGCAGATTTTACTTTCACAAGTGGAGCAGTACGGCTATCACCATAGTGTTCTGTTTGATTTATGCATATAAATAGCTTTATTATAATTATGCAGGGACTATTACAGATTATATGGACACTGCAATGTAAGTAGGACAGCACAAGAAAAACAGAAAAAAGATGAAAGAAAGAGGATATAAAAGGGAGATAATGATAAAACATCTTCAGTCTGCTTCATCACCCGATGAGATGTAAAAAGAACAGCACACCCAAAGGAGATGGCACAAGACATACAATAAAGTAATGATACTATCGCTGAAGTATAAGTAGTATCATTCAATCTGACATGTATACTGTGGTAGCTAAAGATAAGAATATGGGCTTTCTGTATGGAAGTGAATCTCTAAATACCTGGAGCCACGCACCTGTAAAAAATACCTGTGTTTTGATGTATAATTTGTATGCAGGGTTCCTGCGGGTCCTTAAAAAGTCTTAAAAGGCTTTGAATTCTTCAAAATAAAACTAAGGCCTTAACTGGTATTAAAATGTCTTAAATCAGTCTTTCGTAGGTCTTAATTTTTAAAACATCATAAATAGGATTATTTTTATTACGATTTATTTTTGTAATCTAAATAAAACGTTAACATTGACATTTTTTTTCTTTTTTTCTTTAAAAAAAATGATGGCTCTCCATTATTGGTTCCGTCCCTATAGCGGAACCAATAAAAGCGTTGTTGCGGCCGGGACATTTGGGAGATGCACAATTAACTTTTTGTCTGGAAAATATGAGCAAGTGTAAATGTAAAGAATATTGGCTCCAGCCAAGTGTTTTCTCCATGGCTAAAACCATGGAAAATACATGAGGCACGCTGGATTTTGTGCAAGAAGCGATTCAAGCTCAGAACGATGGGAATTAAGGCAGTGGAGTCGCACATGCGAAGCGCGAAACACAAAGCGTCTTAATCGAGTTACCGAGAAACAGTCTCAGTTTTGTTCCAACCTTGTCTCTGCAACGCCTCCACTTATAACCAAATCAAACATACTAAGAAAACGATACAAAGAAAAATAGCAGCAAAAAAGACTTAGCACTGGTTATGTTGTGTCTTTAAAACTGATTTGTTTTGTTCCCTGCTAAAACAAAGTTTGTGAATTCAGTTAAATAATTGTTAAAATATATCTGTCATTTCTTTCTTCCTGTATGGGAAGCTTTTCAAAATTTGAAACATTAGTGAGTGGTTTATGTTAAAATAAACCTTTGGGTAAAGTTGTCACAAGCAGGTTTTTCTTGTGTTTCTTGTGAATTTGGTCTTAAATCTTTATTTCAAGTAGCATTAAAAAGTCTTAAAAAGTCTTGAATTTAACTTGCCTTATGCTGTAGGAACCCTGTGTATGGGTACTTAGAACATTTAGCGAGTAAGCAGAAGTTGTTTGCAAAAGTAAAATGTTTGTAAGCGCTAGAGTGGCCCTCTCTAGGAGCACAAAGATTCTGTCATTCACTTCCATATAAAACCAAAAATCTTTTAAAAAACTGGAGATTCACTGAAGCAAAACTAACAAAATAGCAAAAAACTGAGTTAAACATTAATAGCCGAAGGGTGTAGAATCGTTTTAAAATTTGAATGGCATTTCTAGTTGAAAGCATGCAGAAGTAGTTAAAGGGCAAAATATCAGAAGTTTTAGTGGAATTTTGGCAGAATCCCATTCATTTCTATGGGTCAAAAAATAGTAATAATAGTAATAGTAATAATTTCAAAAATTATTATAGCTGAAATTACCAAAATGTATAGCATAACCTTCCAGAAGAAGCTGAACGTTTTGATACCAAAATGTTGAAATCGGATGAAGTATGCGGGCCTAGTTAGAGATGGAAAAAGAGAAACAGGAAAACAATAGGAGAGAATGAAATAATGCATTCTCACTTGATTATTTAGGGGTAAAATCGTATACAACGGACAATAGACGGAAAGGGAGGTGAGAAAAAATAGGCAATAAGAATTAAGCGGAGAAAGAGACAGAGACTCCTGTCTCTTCCTCCACTTAATTCTTATAGCCTATTTTGTCCATGAAAAGAGAGAAAATAAAACAAAAATGCAAAAAAGACAACTCCTAGAAATATGTTTTTGCATTATGTGATGTGAGAAGAACAATTCAATTCAGTTTATTTATATAGCGCCAAATTCACAACACATGTCATCTCAAGGCACTTTACAGTTCAACCAGATCATACAGTCAAATTGATACAAAGTTTTCTGTCTAAGGAAAACCAGTTGATTGCATTGACTCATTGACTCAAATACAATCCCTCACACTAAGCATGCTTGTAGCGACAGTGGAGAGGAAAAACTCCCTTTTAACAGGAAGAAACCTCCAGCAGAACCAGGCTCAGTGTGAGCGGCCATCTGTCGAAGCCGACTGGGGTTCAAGAAGACAGAAGCAGAGATACAAAAAGCAGCTGTAAAAGGCGGCCCCGTCCAGAGAGAGAACAGAAAACATTCATCCATCTTCTGTCACGCTTATCCCTAGCGGGGTCGCAAAGGGTGCAGGAAAAACAACCATTCACTCACACACGAGAATTTAGAGAAGCAAATTAACCTAACAATCATGTTTTTGGACTGTGGGAGGAAGCTGGAATACCAAGAGAGAATCCACGCATACTCAGGGAGAACATGTAAACTCCATGCAGAAAGACCCCAAGCCAGGAATTGAACCCCAAACCTTATTGCTGCAAGGCAGCAATGCTACCCACCGTTTCACTGAGCAGCCCAACAGCGAACATAACAACAGCTAAGAGAAGACAACAGACAACCAAAGTAAATATGAAAAAAAAGCTTAAAGAGCAGTGGGTATGGGTATCCCATTGATAAAAATGTGTGTGAAAGGCAAAACTTGATTACACAATATTATTCTGGGTGGTATATATATATATATGTAGCTGTAGTTTAGTGTTTAGTATTTGTGTGTATCCGTGGGAATCTGGAACCAAACTCCTGTGGTTTGTATGCAAGGGCATGCTCGTGAATAAAGGATTTTAAAAGTTTCTTCAGTAGGAAAATATGCTTAATTGCAGGTGTGGGCATCCCCAGACATGCCCTACAGGGCCCAAGACCGATGAAGAGGTGATCCAGGCCCAAGATCCAGAGGCACCCCAGATAACTGGGACAGAAAGGCGGCAGTCATAGGAATGTCCACACCCACCAGAGAAGGGAAGACAAGAGCATCCGGAGCCCGACCCCAAAAAGGGCCAAATCCCAAAGAGGCCCAGTCCCTGAGGGGGCAAAGGCCATAGGGCCCAGGTCCGACAGGGACCCATGGGCTTCGCTGGGGGCAGATCACATCCAAGATGGAACAGGATGAGAGCCCCAAAGTCTGGGTATTAAATGGACTGAGCCTCCTGGCCCTGTGGGGACCCCACCTTGTGTGGGGGGTCGAGAGGTACCAGCTGGATATAGTCGGGCTTACCGCTATGCACAGCTTGGGTTCTGGATCCCGTCTCCTGGAAAGAGGCTGGACGCTCCACTTCTTTGGTGTTGCCCGCGGTGAGAGGCCACGAGCTGGGGTGGCCTTGCTTATTCATGACGTGTTGGAGGTCACCCCAGTGAATGTGAGGGTCGCTTCCCTATGCCTTCGGGTTGGGGACAGGTCTCTCACCGTTGTCTCAGCATATGGGCCCAACATCGATGCAGTTCCTGACCTTCTTAATAATAATAATAATAATAATTCAATTTTATTGTCATTCCACTGTCACAAGTACAGAGCAATGAATTTAATTTTCTGCATCAAACCCATCCCCTTGGAGTGCTTGGGAGAGATACTAGTTGGTGCTCCAACTGGGGACTCCATTGTTCTACTCTGGGACTTCAAAGCCCACGTGGGCAGTGACAGCAAGACCTGAACTGGGGTGATCAGTAGGTACGGCCTCCCTGTCTACCATGTTCGAGCACAGAGGCCTCCATGGGTGCACATGGCACCAGGACACCCTAGGCTGGAGGTCAGTTAACGACTTTGTAGTTGTGTCTTCTGGTGTCCAGGTGCATGTCTCTGACACTTGGGTGAAAAGAGGGGCTGAGCTGTCAACCGATCACCACCCTGTGATGACCTGGTTCCACTGGCAGGGGAGGAATCCAGTCAGACCTGGCAGGCCTAAGCTTGTTGTGAGGGTCTGTTGGGAATATCTGGTGGATGCGGCTGTAGCTCGTTTACTTGCGGAGGCAAAAACTCTGAGGTTTCTCTGACTTTCGAGGTTAGAGACGCACTCGCCCATCAGCCAGGCTTCAGTCACAGAGGTAGTTAGAAAGCTTGTCGGTGGCAGGGCCCCAGGGGTGGATGAGATATGTCCTGAGTACCTTAAGTGTCTGGATGTTGTAGAACTGTCTTGGCTGACTCGTCTCCACAATATCGCGTGGACAGAACCCCTGGATTGGCATGCGGGGGTGGTAGTATCGCTCTTTAAAAGGGGGGACTGAAGGGTGTGCTCCAATTAAATACGGATCACACTCCTCATTTAACTCACTTAATTGTACAATTACACAATTAAGTGAATAGCGTCAAACCAATTAATGTTGTTGGCTGTCAATAATAACAAACCTAGCAGTAATTTGAAAAGTTTTTTATTAAACACACAGTTCTGTATTTAGAAATTTTAAGATTCAAATTTTACATTTTTACTCCAGAAAAATATAAGCATTACTGTACAA